GAGTTGTAATGACAGGTTCATTAGTAAGGTGTTACTATCCACAGTTGTGTTCCCTGGTTCTGCTGTATACACAACTGTAAAGTGGATATGAAATAGCACCAGCTCCAAACTCTTAGTGTTTTATTCAGTCTACATTAGAGAAAATTGCTACACAAAATGCAAGGCAAAAGTCAATCATTATTTTCCGAAATGCTGTCCGCGGCTGAAAAGTCATGGAGGTGGTTGGCGGTTACAGTACAGGCCACGGAGGTGACTTGCTGTGATCAGGGGTTCACAGGGAATGTATTGTATTAGCTGGAGGGAAGCTTTTGTTTCTCCATCCCCGGAGTGCGTTCTTCTTGGGGCAAGTAACGGAGTCCTCTCTGTACTGCTTCAGGGTGGGCTGTCCACCTGTTCTAAGTCTGTCCCTTGCTCTTCACGTAAGCACCGGTCCTTTTCAGAAAAGATCTGTGTATCTTCAAGCACCTGCAGAGTGGGGGTTCACCAGCAGCAACATGTGCAGGAGTGGTTGTTATCAGGTCGCGGCAGCGTTAGGCTGTGTCAGGCCTGGTCACTTCCCTTTGCTCTTCTTCCCTGAACGGCATCTTTCCCTTCTGTCATCTGGCGTTCCTCGTGCTAATTGGTCTTCAAATCGTGGCTTTTAATTATAAATGGAAAGACAGTGTTAGCTTACACATCCCCGTGCTTTGCAGCATGTTCATTTTTCCTTCTTTACTCCCCAACCTGAAATGATAGAGCTGGTTCTGGTGCAGTTCAGTGGCTAAGATAAAAGCAGCCCAATGTTTGCCGCTCAGAGGACGTAACAGCCTGTTTGAAAGCCCCAGCAGGTCTGTGCCCACAAGCCCCCAGACCCGTCTATGGGTGGGTGGGTGGGGAATGAAGTGCTTGATTCCCACAGCATCTCAAGTTTTCCGCCAGGACAGACTGGAGTTAACTTTAACAATCAGGATGGTTACCTGCCTGCATTTGAGGGGTTAATCACTCATGAAGCTGACAAATTCAAATATTGTTTGTTGCCTGGCAGCTTGCTTTAAGCCAAGCCAGTGCAAAATATCCTCTTAGGGGCAGCCTTGTTTTCCTCTGGGGACCACACAGGGACCTGCACTGGCCTGAATGTATAGATACGTGTTACGAGTAGTACCTACCTTATTGACACATTTGTATTGGAGGTTTGCTGTTTATTCGAGGTGCTCATTAGGAAGTTGGGAGGGGACTTTTTACAGGGCCTGTAGTGACAGGACAAGGGGTAATGGGTTTAAGCTGAAAGTAGGGAGATTTAGATTAGATGTCAGGAAGAAATTCTTCCCGGAGAGGGTGGGGAGGCACTGGGACAGGTTGTCCAGTGCAGCTGTGGATGCCCCATCCCTGGAGGTGTTCAAGGCCAGGCTGGATGGGGCTTTGAGCAGCCTGGTCTAGTGGGGGGTGTCCCTGCCCATGGCAGGGGGTGGGAGTGGATGGTCTTTAAGGTCCCTTCCAACCCAAACCATTCTGTGACCTAAAAGCCACAACAAAGAAGAGGTCAGTGAGAAGCTGGGGAGCAGAGAAATCTCTCTCCTCTCCCCAGCAGCTGTTTCTGCACCAGGCTGTGATTCTATGATTAGCAGGAGAGGAAAAACAGGAAGATCCACAGCCTCTTCCACAACACTGTGAATATACCTTGGACACTTGTTTCTAAGTGGGCATTTCTGCCACTTCCATTTCAATAATAGCTTTACTCACATTGTTGCTTCGTATTCTCTCAAAGTGTCTGTCATTATGCAGATATGTAATACATCTTGAGTTGTTTATGTTCTCTGTGAGTAAAAGGGTTTCCTAAGCATGGGAGTCCTAAGCCCACAGGAGTTCAAATCCCCATGTAAGTCGTCTATGAGTAGTTATACACTAGGCTGGAATTCCAGGATGGAAACAGAAGTCCTGAGTACAAGCACTTCTTGCCCAAGCTCAGTTAGGATTGCCTTGTAGTAGCTGAAGGGCCTTATCCTAGAGATGGACTTAGTAAAATGGATCTTATTTTTGTTAGGTTGACATGCAGATGTCAAAAGGAAGTGGCTGGGGAAAGCCAGAGCAACATGTTTTATTCTTATCCTAAAATTACATGCAGTGAATTTAGTACAGTGAAAAGTACTATCTTGGGCTCTTCAGAGGCTTGGCTTAAAGTTCTTTCTCCGCAAAACACAGTGGTGACAGTGCCTTTTTTTTTTTTTTTCCCCCTCTTGGTTTTTAAAATGCAAATCAAGAGAAGAGGAAGAATCCATTAAATCCCCCAGGTACTTTCTCATTCTGTCCTGTGGTGTAGGAATGACTTTTTGAGGTTGATGAAATTAATTCGACATAAAGTCCCTGTGATACACTATCAGTGTGATTTTTGCAAGTTGTGCATTATCTTCTAACCGTTGATTAACTTTTTTATTGGAGCCAACAGGATGGTTTAATCTTAATTTTTGAATTTGTGTGATTTGTTAGTAGCCAGAAGGAGAGAAGAGGATGCATGGTGGTGTCTCAGAAGTTCACGGTCAAACTCTTCTATGACTCAATGACAGGATGCTTCAGGGAGGAAAAAGGAAAAATAGTTTACAGATCAGCCAAGTTCAGTGGGACAGAAGTCTTGATTTGGGAGCAACAACATTTGAAATCAAACCCTGAAGTGTGACATACTAGAAGCCTTTATATTTTCTTCAGGGGGAAGGACCAGTTGCAGAGAGCAGTTGTCTGTCACATTTACTGACCTCTGAAAATAGTTGATCTGCAGCATGTTACAGTACAGCACCATGCCACAGATCCTGGGAGCATAGATATAAAGTACTGAGCTAGCAATTCTGCAGAGGTTTGAAAGTGTCACTAAGAGCGATGTGGTCATGCTGTAAGAGGGATGTAGAGCTGTGGTTTGTGCCGGAACCAGGAAGGAAGCAATCAGACAGATTGAAACAAGGTGGTGCCAAGTAACCGCCATCCAAACACAGAATAAAGCCAAAGAGAAGCATAAGTAAGGCTGCAGCTGCTACGAACGGTCGACGTAGAACCGGTAGTGCTGTGGGTAATATTGTAAGTTTATTGAGTAGACAAAATTTGGACATAAGAGTGAGGATTGGCTGGATATCACAGCACAGTCCCCCAGCTCTGCTTCTCAGCTGCCTCAGGCAGAGGACAAGCTATTGCTGTACACAGTTTCAAATGGGTTTGTCAGTGTGCAGCATTCTTAATTTTTGTGACTTGTTTATGTCATGGCTGAAAGTAAGGATGTCAGCATTTCACCAGATGAGACGGAGAAATTATGTGACTAGAAATATCCAGAACACTTGAGCTTGCTATAAAAGAGGTGTGACTGGAAGTGAGTTGGGAGTTCATTTCTCAGCATAATAACCAGTGATTAATGGTTCCAAATTTATGATTAACTGTATAGCAAGAAGATGGACAAGTATTTGCAGCAGATTGCTGGAGTCACTGATGAAACCTCAGTTCACTTCACTGGGGACAGCTTGCAGTAATGCAATAGTCTACATACCCATCCCTCGGAGAACTGTGAAGTCCTGTGTTCATTGTTTCACTGGACTGCAGATCGGTTGTGTTCAATTTGCAGATAAAGCGACATGTTTGGCTCTGTAGTTTGTGTCAGGGGATGGGGTCAGGTTCTTAACTGCAGCCCAACCTAGGAGCTGTGAGCTGAGCTAGACTTTCTCTGACTGTGTGATGTCATGGCTCATAAATGCTCTGCAAAGCCCAGCAGGTCTCTGTGACACCAGGGGCGTGCCATTCCTTCCTCCTTCAATTATAACTGAATTAAACTAAATGGCAAATTGGCACACGATGTGTGGAGTGGGATGGGATCCAGGTTGTCAGGTGTGGTGCTGCATGTGCATGTTTGACAAGAGTAAAAGCTGAAAATCTCATTTGAATAGACTTACAAAGTACAATTTTTCTGGGTGCAGATTTTCTTAATGGCAATAGATTTGAGAGCTCAGGGGACCATCTTAAACTCACTTGTGGGAGATAGCTCAATGTCGTTACATGCAAGTCAGCAGGTTTAGATCACAATTTTGCAGAACATAATGCTTCATGTACGTTACTTACCTCTTTCTTTCAATTCTTGGAGTTTTGTTCCATATTTTGTGATAGCTCAGGCATCCTGATCCTGTCAGCAATATCCATATCCTTTTGCCAATATAATAATGTAACAGCACTTTAAGTTACTTGAGGACAAGGATATAGTAAATAATAACAGATCAGAAGAACTTAGAATTGAATCAGCGTACACTGATGTTCTTCCTTGCCCAAATGGCATTTATCACAGTTTTAACTATATACAGCAGGGTAAATTAAAACAGAAAGGGAAGTTACCCTTCTGTACCTATTTATAAAAGTACCTATTTATAATCATAGAATCACAGAATGGTTTGGGTTGGAAGGGACCTTAAAGACCATCTAGTTCCAACCCCCCTGCCATGGGCAGGGACACCTCCCACTAGACCAGGTTGCTCCAAGCCTCATCCAACCTGGCCTTGAACACTCCCAGGGATGGAGCATCCACAGCTTCTCTGGGCATTATAATCATGAAACCTTCGGAATGAGCTAGAAAAATGTAAAAGGCCATGTTTACACTGCAGATATTTGACCATCTAGTTCTGATTTACGAGCTTTCATTGATGTCAGGGGTAGCAAACTCTTGGCCTAGTGAGGGTTAATCAGCATAAGTTTAATTCTTACTGGTAGAACACACTTTGAGTGGTGAGAGCTGGAATACAGTGCTTCAACAAAAATTCAGCTTTAATGGCAGAAACTGCAGCAGCATTAAGGATGTTGGCAGCTTCACTGCCAAATGGTCACAGTGTGGGCTGCAGTCTTCATTACTCACAAGACCTTATCTGGCTGGAGGAGGGACTAGTGGAAATTTGTTTGCATAGAAATTGACAATTACAGGGTGGCATACTGATAGCAAAAATCTCAACAGCAACTATCTCTAACCAATTCTTCCTTTCGATTTGTCTTTGTTTCTCCTGCAGGGCTTGTGAAGTTGGGGGTTCACTGTGTCACGTGTCAGAAGGTCGCGATAAAAATTGTCAACAGAGAGAAGCTCAGCGAGTCGGTGCTAATGAAGGTAATTTTCTAATGGGAGACTTTAAAAAAAATTAAGTTCTTGGCTTTGTATCTTCTATTCCATGCAAAATTAATATCTTTAATTACGTATAACAAACATCCCTGTCAGTACTAGGATTATGTGGAGCATAATAACAATAATTTAGTTATAGGGGAGGCTAAGGCAGCTGAAATTAAATGGGAGTATGCCTGTGCTTTGTGACCAAAATAAACAGTCAGCTGCAGAGTTGTTTCTCTGCTGGGGCAGACGTGTGTTGGGTGTCTGACTTCCGCTGCTGCAGCAGGGCATAATAGTTGTGGTACGTTGGAGACTGAGGTGTACAGGTATCACTAGGAAGAGGTCTAAGAGAGGCTGGTGAATCTGTTGTTTGAATACTCTTATTGCTTGCTCTGCTGCATGGGTTTGCTATGATCCGATGCACCAGGGTCCATGACTGTTCAAAGCTGTTGTAATCCTGTTAACAATCCAGAGAGCTGTGCCAGTGGAAGCCATCAAAGTGTCTGTCCCGATAGTCCCAATGACTATAGTGTTCAGAAGAGCTTAATTTGGTTTTTACAGTCTTGTGATATCCATCTCCTTACGTGAGTGTCATTGATTGATCTCGGAAACCTAAAAATAAAATAAATATATGCATAAAATTTTATTCATGTGATTCGGTGACTAGAAAGGCTAAATTCAGCTTGATGGAAGGGAACACAACTGCACTGCAATCAACAGAATTCCATCTAGCTGGCACCTGCAAATGACGCTAACAGGTCTCCATGCAGCGTAAAGCTCGTTATTGAGGTAACTTCCCTATAAGCACATGGAGCATATGTATTTATGCTGCTGTTTCTTATATGTTCTTCTTTGTCAGCTGTTTTCCAGTACAAGTAGGAGCAGAAGGATAATGGGATTAAAGGAATATGCAGTCAGTGAATGTAACACATACAATGTAAACTTATATTTTCTGGAGAAGGATTCTTGAAGTTTATGTTCAATTGTAATGTGTTCAGACTTACCTTTCTGGAATTCCATTGAAGTGTTCCCTCTCCTGCAGTACTGTGGATTGAAACAGCCTTCTAATATAGACAAAAAGTTATAAAGTGAAATAGGTAAGAAAACTGCAAATTTAAAGGGAGATTCAGCAGATGAATGGAACACAATGAAAGCAAAGAAAGTGTGTAAATGGTAAAATCTGAATGAAACTCTAGGTGCTTTGAATATTTTCCAGAGTAACACAGTAGGAATATTTGTAAAAAACATGAGCATTTTGTTTGCTTAGAGACACTGTCTGGTATCTGTACAAAACACTTTATTTACCTCATTGATTTTCAGAGTAGGAGGCAAATCACTTAGCATAGCAAAATGATGTCTCTGCTTTAGCTGTGTTGCATTACCGTGGATGTAGTATGAAATCTGAGTAGTGCAGTAGTATGTTAGGCCCTTGTTTACACAGTCACATGCTGACGCATGCCATGTTTTCTGTAAGACTGAACAGCATCCTTCTCAGGAGGAAACCATGCCTTGTACCGTGATTCTTATTTTCAGACCATTCTTGGTAAGATTTTCTCTTTCAAGGATTCTGTTCTCTGTGCTCAGGAGGTTGGAACAACAGATGGGGTTGAGGTGGTTTGCCCAGTTCTTGCATAAACTCAGTA